CAAAATGGTGAAAAGAAAAAGGAATCAAATGAAATGGCTATAAAAGAGTAAAGAAAAAAATCTGCGATGATTAAACAAATCAAATCTAGTTCTTTGGGCATGATGTGAAGAGGTGAGTATTGTAGATGATGAGAAAAAATTCAACCTTGAATTAGGGCATCTACCTCTAAAACGAAAGGATGCAAAACTAAATAAAAAGTGATAATTGTGGATCAAGAGATGTGGCATAATATCAATCTCTATCTGACATAGGTGTCTATAAATTCAATTTATAAGTCTTAAGATTAAGATACAATATTGTTAGAAAGACTTGATGAAGTTTAGATAACAGGTCTGCAATAATTTTTATGATTCTAAAACCACGACAAGCTTGAACCACAATAAGAAAAGTAAAGTTTAAATGAGCAAGAATAGTATCAAAACAAGAAAGCATGAAAAACTTATCTACTACCCCCCAAGTAACTCCGTAAAAGATGAGAATGTACTGTCTGCATGGTACAAAAAAATACAGTTTTTAGTAGATTTAGAAGGAAAGGATTCAAATAGGTCATTATTTTTATGTATGAAAAGAGAGATAACCACAGGAGGAAGAAGAAACAGGAAACCCAACATTACAAGATACCAATATTAGGATTCCAAAATATGAGTATGCAGAAAGACCCTGTTATCAAATCAATGATCTAACAGAGCCTACTAGTGAGTACGTTAAGATCATGAGCCAAGAAGCATTGTCCCCAAAAATACAAAGATAGTTAAGACAAAGCTCACAAGACAAATATCAACAAATCTTGCAGCTAAAAGTAAAAAAGGGCTTCATGCCAGAATTAGATACAAGTGTATAAAAGTATTCCTATGTGTGGATTGGAAACTGAGTAGGATACCCATAAAGAAAAATCTACATTCTTGTAAGAAGTCTCAAAAATAGCAAAGTATAGCACAAAAACCAACAATAGCTCAACTAGAAAGGAATATTGATTACAATACTTTTTTAAGATAGGGTAAAGGAAAATTAAACTTCCACATCCAGTGGTAAGGCAAACAGGATTTTAGGTTGTATCTACAGAAATATTGAACACAAGTCTAAAGAGGTTATAATTTCATTGTATAGGTTGCTGGTTAGGCCACATTTGGAATATGGTGTTCAGTCTTGGTCTTCTTAACTCAAGAATGACATTGAATTGTTGGAAAGGGCTCAGAAGAGGGCTACCAGAATGGTGCCTGGGATGGAGGGGTTATCATATGAGGATAGGTGAAGATCCCTGAAATTGTATTATCTTGAGGGGATCTGATTGAGGTGTTTAAGATTGTAAATGGAATTGATAGTGTTGATGCATCATCTTTTTTCATACTTAACAGCAAGAATGGTAGAACTAGGGGACACAAATATATATTTTGGCAAGGTAGGAGTCATCTTCAGCTAAGTTATATTTTTCTGATAGGTTGGTTAGCCTCTGGAATGGATTGCCCTCAGATGTTGTAGAGGTAGTAAATTTAAGTGAGTTCAAGAGAAAGCTTGATAACTTTATGAATGATAAGACCTGGCCTCTAAGATTTTTTAAAATAGTTTTAGATTAGTTTAGAGGATGGAACAGCTGAGATAAATCAATAGGTCCCTTGGTGTCCCTACACATTATGTTATGTCAAAACAGGTCACACCATAACTATTAAAACTCTCTACCATGAAAAATTTAACTACCAAGTAAATAGATTACTGTGATTTTGTACAGAACTCTGATGGGGCCTCATTTAGAATATTATGGACTGTTTTAGTCTCCCTTTTATAGAAATTATGCCTACAAGCCAGAATTAGTGCACAGATTGGCAACTGTAATGAGAAGTGGTTTACGTAATTCAAGAAGAGGATTAAAGTTTCCTCTGGTGCATAATGAACTAACAGAAAATTGAAACAGGCATTTTAAAATTTCCAAATATTTGCATGATCTACCTCCGAGTGGTCCGTTTGATTTACAGAATGGAAAGTTCAGAAGCAAAAATTTCCCATGAAGGGCTGTGCGTACAAGTTTTGGAGCTCAATTAAAAGTTATTCTTCATTATTTGTTCTCTTTTAGTTATAAACTTATGAAATAATTTGCTGAAAGATGTGTGTAAAGTGTACTTAGTTCAGAGTTAATTACATTTTAGTTGGGTATTATAAAGAATCAGGATTTTAAGAAATATGAAATAACCATGGCTTGAACTGAAGACTCAGCTCACATAAATGTTCTGATGCCCATGCTCTACCAATTTAACAACAAAGAGTAGGTGAATGTGAGGTTGTCATTGTTTGGGTATCTTAATCAACCCAAATGATGTTCTGTTTCTCATATTTCACATTCTTACATACAACTAAACCCATAAAGTCTTATTCTTACAATCTTTTGCAAAGACTTACTGCACTGCTTTAATGTAACATATGAGCAGAAATGAACCATTTGTTCCTTCAAGGCTGATGATGGACATTCACCCAAAAAGAAAAACAAAATTTATATCCACCCTATATTTCGGGGAAATTCAAACAACTTCCAATGACAACTCATTCCATAAGCTAATCACTTCATTAGAAAATTGTAACTGTCTTAACTGGAACATAGTATGTCTTTTACAAATCTTAAACTTATACCCCGCCTCCCCTCCCATCCTCTTATCTTCAGAACAGAGGCCTTTTTCCTATGGATCCCTCACAGTCTTGTAAACATAAATAAAATCACCTCTTACCTTTCTTTTCTCAAGAGAAAACAAGTTAAGGGTTTCCAACTATCCCCATTGGACAATTTTTTTTCATTCCCAGAATCACCCTAGTAGCTACCCTTTCTTAGGTAATGAGATTAAAACTGTACCAATGCTCTGAGTAACTATAGACTTAAAAGATAAAGTTTCTTTAACTTTTATTCAGTTTAAATGGATCAAGCACTCTAATGTCTTTTCTCCAAATTAACATAACTTATGTGATGTTGTAGCACAGTTACTTATGGAAGATCCATAATGGAATATAACTGCATAACAATTAGCATATTGTTAAAAAACACTTGTAAAAATGTGAAACAGGTGAACATCAACCTGTCCTAACTAAGCCTTGAACCCTGAACTCTTAAGATTGATGTTCTACCCAAGTCTTCTCATTCATTAAAATACAATTAACACAGTTAATACAATGGATATATTACAAACTAATGATAACATATTACCAACAATATGGTAGTAATATACTGAATGGCAAAAGCATTTTTTTTAAACTGCCATTAAAACTGTGTAAAATTTTAACTAAAAACATCAGTCATCATTTTAAGATAGAAAGCACTAATGTTTTCATCTTAAGAAGACTGTTTATTTATTAAGTTCAATAAAAATACTTATTACAAACTTCAAATACAAATCTTGTTCTAAAGCAGTCCCATCACAAACTTACAAAACTCAACAATTTTCAATAGTAACTTCATACTACATATAAATTGTTGAGTGTTGTATCAGAATTACAAATTTATTTTCTTTTGTTATATTCTCCATTAAAATGGTATTCACCACTTGACAGTCATCTTTATTAGTATTCACTAAAATACCAAACTTCTGTCTTGCCTCAACTGTGAATTTGTTTTATGGCTCAAGCTAAAGAAAAAAAAACAGTCCTATCAATAGAAAAAGGAATAATCTTCCCCATTCCCACTAGGATATTATTTAAATCATTTCAGCAAACATACAATTGTCAAAACTTGCTTAAATTATTTTACGGTTTTGAGATATTTTTCTTGATATCAAGATTATATATAATTTCTCATGTTTACAAGAAGTCTACACAATCACTACCACAGCATAAAATTCAAAGTATGATGAAAGTCACGAACTTTTAGAATTGCTATTAATATCACTAATAGTAACATAAAAAGCATAATAAACCTTCTTTGATGCATGTTTAGAAATGCGTGGTTTCAAAATGCATGTCAGTTATTAAACTTGTCAGGATATTATGATTTTTTTTTTTCACTTGAACTTTATCGTAAAAAAATGCATGTTTATATTATTTAAAAATGGAGTCAAATCTAAAATTCTAAGTACAGGTTTCAACTAAAGCCTTGCCGGATTATAGAAAAGGAAATCTTAAGACGAACTAACACAGTGCCAATTACATGATGGTTATTTCACCATTCAGTAAAGAGTAGGAAAAAAAACTAAAATATTACAGATAATTTACATAAATAATAAAACAAAAGGGCTGGCTGCGTTTACACACATATACAGATGTCAAGTTTTGGAACGTTTGAACAAATCACCCAACAGCAGTACGCAAGAGTCATGACAAGCCCACGTACCAATCACTTAACGTTATGCAGCGCATCAAATGCGCTGACCGCTTTAGTTTGACTTGGTACTATAGGGTATAGACCATAGTTACCAAGCCCAAAATATTCAATGTTACTAAGTTATATAAATCAAATTATTAAATTTAGAAGCATTAACAAAAGACATCTTAAATCATATACAAATGTTCCATATTACGTAAAACTCTCATTCAAAGTTAACGCATATATTATGCTAATATATGCATAAATGTGCAGAAAAAAAATCACCTCACCTGTCTTGCGGTCAGGCGACGTAGACGCCGTATCCGCCATGTTGAAGGTTCGATTTAGTTCCGGAAGTTGATCGAATTTCTTGAAAACTTTATAAACAAACTTCTTTGAATTTGAAATAACGAAAATATAAATGAAATTTTCGTTAAATTAACTGAAATCTTTATTGAAAAATATTGTGATATTTCTAGTGTTAAAGGTTTGAAAAAAAAAACATATAACCAACTTTTTTTATTACTTAGTTAAAGAGGAAAAATACTTCCACTACCCATTCAGCAACCAATGAAAGTTACGTGTAACTTTTATTCGTACTTGGAAATCTAATTTATTTATTTACTATTTATTCACCTTAACAAATCAACGATTGGATTTTTGAAATATGTAACCAATAATTAAATAATATTTTACGTAATGCGGTCCTGTTAATTTGATAACAATTCAATATGGCGAATATAGAGAGTAGTAGGTGTCGAGGTATGGAGAAAAACTTGTTAAACTTTCGATGGAAAATACTATTTAACATACTTAAAAGAGTTGGTGAACATTTGACAATGGCAGAAGTTAAGCTTCTTGTTTTTCTTACCGGAAGCGCCATAGATGAAACAACAAAATCAAGAATTCGAAATGGCAAAGACTTAATCATGGCATTAATCAAATGTGGGGCTTGTGATGAAAGTAATTTGCGGAGTATTATACATTTGTTAAAATGTATCAAACGCTATGATTTGTTGCATTTAATAAGTGCTAAAAACAAAAGAAAAGGTAAGAGCCAATATATATCATTATCTGAAAGTGAAATTAGAACAGTTGCTTAGCTTTATGTATCTGGAACTGAAACTGAAAAGTAGGGTAACACTGTGACTTAGGCCTAACGTATTTAGTTGCTATAAATTATAATTAGTGTGGTATTATACTTGTAATTGATACATAGTATTGTTATTAATAATAGTACTTTAGTGACAGTGTAGCATTAGTAGTAGTGTTAATACTAATGTTAATTGTACTTTTGTAGCCACGAGGCTATAAATATACATAATACAGACAACAAGGGACCATTTGATCTATCAGTCATTACTCCCCCACCTTTGAGAAAAGTAAAATATTAAACCCACATTCTATTTTTCAGGAAATCGTCTATTTTACTCAAATTCCTTCAAGGTGCTGTTCTTTATTACTCCTTTACAGCTGGTGCCAACTCATACCATAACTTTGCATAAGCCAATCATCCTGTTAAAAAAATATATTTAATTGTAAACAAGTCTGTCTTTTCCAAATCTGAAATTTGTATCATCTCTTATTATCTTCAGAATATAGCACAGAGAAATCAGAGTCCTTTATCCTATTTATGTCTTTTATAATCTTGTAAAGTTAAATAAGATCATCTCTTACCAATTTTATCTGAAGATAAATTAAATTAAGAGATCTTTATAACTATAAGATTAGCCACCCTTATATGAAATTATCTTACTTTTAGTGATCATCTTTTGTAATGGAAAACATTCTAGAGAATCAAATAAAAAAAGGTATACAAAGTAAATTTACTTTAATGAAGTATATCAAATAAAAATCAAAATGAATTAAGCAAAGGAATATCTTGCCATACTAACCTGTTATTTTTCAAGAATGCTACTTGTTGCCTTGAGGAAGAAAAGAATGTGTGCTTGTTGTAATTAAGATTTTCCAAAAGCTTTTGATAAGGTTCCACACAAAAGATTAGCTGAGAAAATTGGAGAAAGACAAGATAATTGAATTTTAGGAGAGTTGTTGGATGGGGAGAAAAAATGTTATTAATTGAGCCCAGTCAAAACTGGATCCATGTTTCTTACTAGTAGATTACCTCAAACATTTCATTCTATAAATATAATTATTATTACTGTAATAACTATAGTAGAAATCACAATCTGTCAGGATCATACTTTTGGTATCGTTATGCAGTTTGACCACCATATAACTAGTCTTTTTCTAACTCCAACTAATGTGAATTTCTTGGCTAATCTTTTGTCAAAAAGTTTTTGAAAATTCAAGTACACCAAGTAAACATCCTTTCATTCAGATAAGTAACATCCTTTAAAATAGATAATATATTAGTCGGGTGAACCCATGCAAGCTTTGCTTTATAATAGAATATTTTACTAAATGATTTTATAAAGCTTCTTTCATCACTTACTCAATAATCCTTCCCATAGTGGAAGCCTAACTGGCTTATAATGTCAAGATCAACCCCTTTTAAAAATAAAAGTGGCATAAGCAAATTTCCAGTCCTCGGACATCCATCCAATTTCTTTTAATCTACCAAAAATGAAAAAGATACTCATGTACCTGATCTTTGACCTTCCTTAAAACCCTGGGGAAAATATTGTCTGTCTATGGTACTTATAATTTATCAATCTTTCTACTTACCACCAGAGGATTCACATTGATTCAGGTTAATTCCAGCATTTCTCATAGAATGCTAAGGATCAGGAATATTGCTTATGTTTTTGACAAAAACAGAAGAGAATGCTTCAAAGTTCAGTCGACTCATAGTCTTCAAAATTAATATTTCAATAAGCATCTTCTGAGAGCCCAATTCTAACATTTTGCTTAACATACTTTAAAAAAATGCAGTGGCTAGACACCCGGCAGCTGGGAACCATATTTCAAATGCTAAAGACCTGTTAGTTGAAAATTGTGAATATTTATGAGCTACAACAACGGTAATGTAATAATATAAGTAATGATGATAAATAATGATAACTTCAAAAAAAATGTTCACAATTTATGTATGTATGTATATATATGTGTGTATATATATATATATATATATATATTTTTTTTTTTTTTTTTTTTTTAATTATCTTATGGGGAAGCTTATTAATGGTGTGAATGTGAAATTATGTACTGCTGGGCATCTAGTATTTCAAGGATCATTCCCAGTAACTTGTAGCAAACACACTCGCCAATCAACGCTATTCAAGAATGACTATCAGTATTTATTTTTCCAGTGCAAAAGTTTTATTCAAATCATTTCATTCAACTTGCAAACAAATCAGTCTCGTAATTTACTCATTCTCTAAGGAAAATGAGAGCTGATCATAGCTCATCGATATTCAAGTTTTTGGAATGCCAGGTATTTAGTATTTGAAAGTTAATTCCTGGCTACTGGGTATCTAATGGCTGACTTTCCTGTTATATTTTTCCTTTTAGAATCATGCATATCTAGAATTTAAAGCAAATTTTGTTTATAGATATTTCACCTTTAACTTATTATCCCCATTCACTAATTATGTTATTTCATAACCTCAAAATTTACTCTGAAAGTCAGGAAGTAAAATTACGTCTTTTTTTTATTATTTCAACATCTAATACAATATCAAAGCTAATTATGGAATGATCACTTTTCCAAAAATATTCCCCTACTTCAACTCTTACAATTATATTCTCATTAATGGTGAACAATAAATCTAAAACAGCATATTTTCTGGTGGCTGACCAATTGATATAGAAAGCCATCACTTCAAAAAATCTTTTCCTCACTATCTGTCTCCATAAGATTCCATTGAATGTGTCTAAAATCAAAGACTCCCATAATTCACACATTGGTATTCTTATTAATAGTAACCCTGATCTCATACAAATTCCCAATTATCTCATCTGTCTGATTAGTTGGACTATAACAATGAACAATTAAAAACTTGAAATCCACGATTGTAACCCATATACATTCAAATCTTGATAACAATTTCCTATTAGACTGCAGTTCATCTCTTATTTCAAGATCCAACCTTATTAAATAATTTATAACTTGTGTGGAATTTCAAAATAATTCCTGTTATCAATATTCTTGAAATCTAACTCAAGTTTCAGTATTTTTTACCAAGAACATCATCACAAATTTTTGATACTTTAGTCATACTTCCATACTTATTTATTAGTAAAGAAGTCAATTTTGCATAATGTGTAAGGGAATTTTTCAACGAAATAAATTGTAAGTACTTTCAGTTAAGTAATAGCAATCTGATGTCAAACATTGTCATGGTTAGTAGCCCATATGATCACCTAAGTCTAGTTTAACTGTTACTTATTAATCTTAAATTATTATTACTCTTAATGGACAATGGATATCCAGAATACTTGATAAAAGAAAATAAAGATAAATGCCAAGAATAAGCAGAAGAAAAAAATGCAGGCAACTTTATTTACTTAGTGTGGTTAAGATCACTCTGAAAACATATAAAAGATATCAAAATTAAAACATTTTTCAGTAAACATAATATAGTATGGTCTCAGTTATTGCACATTAAATCATTTAAACACTTAATAGAGAATGAAAGTGACACTTATCCCCCTTAAATATGGACTCTAAAACTAACAAAAGTCAGTTTTAAGGGGTACAGGTATATATTCTACAAGACATTGTAGTATTAATCAATGTTCCCTCAATTATTTTCATCCATATGCGGAATGCAATTTTTCATGTGTGGCAATGCGTGAATGCTCACTACCAGTTTTTTTTGGGGGGGAGGGGACTTGTTGGAACAATAAGTCACTTTGCAGTGTTACCAATTCATTATTTGGGCTTTAGGCCTGTCTATTGCCAGAGTCATTAAGGTCGTCAATGTGTTGAGACTCTTCACCATTCCTGAGGATGTGCTCAGCACTTGATTGGTTGTTGTGCGGCTGCACAGCTTAGAAGAGACACTTGTACTAATCCCTCTGTAATAGCCCATCATGTGAAAGAAGACAACCATATTATAAAATGCAGTAATGCTAAAATAAAGGAATATGAAATAGAGCAGGGTGATTAGTTTAATTTGTTAACTGATTAGTCCTCAAGCTCATAAATTGTCTAAAGTCAACTAATTGGTTATTTTCACAAGACTAATCTTCTTGTTTTGGGTTTGTTAAAGACATTTTCAATTTAACATTTGTTAAATATGATAGACATCTTCCCATACAACAAATCAGGACCAGGTACTTTTTTAATCCAAAACTGTTGTACATGAATATGTAGTACAAAACTGGTACAACCTAAAAATACAATTAGTACCATCCCATAGGTTTTTCCCTACACATAAACTAATTATTTGTTAAAATAATTGTCCTTATATTGCATCTCATTAAACTAGTAAAAATACTTGTCACACTGTGTGATAGATAGTATATAATCCAGTAAAAACCAATTCACTCTGATCCTAAAATTGCAAACAGTACAAGAAAACTTGTGATGATAACTGTTTTATCAGAAATATTAAAAACATGGTGGAACCAAAATAATCTTTAATTAAATACATTTGTATAATAATTAACAATTTTATATGTAATAAAACAAAATTTTAAGTGGGATTTTGCATATATAATGTTAAAATGAGTAATGCTTTTACAGTACAGGCTGGAGGAAACTGTAGAAACACGTGCATACTAAGAAATCAATAAATTAAATATAGTTTACTTTTCTAGACAGTGTTTATGTAAATAGGTTATTGACTTAATGATGTTATGTTATTAGTTCATGTCAAATAATTTCTGATAAACATGGGTAACTGTGCAAGTTATTCAGCAATCAACATTTTTTGAACAAAGAAAGACTATTGAATATTAACTTGACATAACTTTTGTTTTATTAAAGCATTCTCACCATAAATAACACTGTTTATGTTTGTAACTTGTAAATTAAGTTAAAACTACACTATTTTATAGTTCAAACAAAGTTAACATGAATAACTGTGACTAACTATTTAATCAATGGCCACTAGGCTACACTTTAACATTTCTGAGCTGTGTACAAATATACTGTTGTACCGAAGTAAGTGGTATTAGCTCTTGTGGCTTGTGTAAGTTCACTTGGTATATATCTGAAGCTGAACAAGTTTGTTTTAGTTATAGTAAAGCTACTTTAGTGTCACAGTTAATCTCACTATTCCTTGGTAAAAAGAGGAGGGTAAGAGTTAGTGGTGGGTACTAATGGCCAGTTGGCTTATCTTTGGTCAGCAATTCAAAATTAGGGATGATAAGAGATAGCCTTAGTAGCTTTGCCATAGCTCAGAAACAGAGAGACAAATGTAATGTCCTTGAGTAAGCATGTGTGGTGGAAATGGGAACCATATCAATTAACCTCAAATCAACCACACTAATCACCAGACCCATGCAGGCCCAAAGCTGAACAAACTTGATTTAATCAAAATTAATGGTGATAAGTCATAATGGCAATATTTTAATTATTTGGAGTAATTGAAGACAGTAACATTTGAAAATGCTACTTTCAATCAGTTGGTTATTTTTTTAAATTTTAATCAATCATAATTCCAGTTAATCTGTAATTTTACATGTTACTGATTGATATAATTGATGCTCATAGTTAATTGATTAAATTAGTTAATCATTTAACTGTAATATGAATTAAGAGCCCAGTTTCTCATACATCTTTTTAACAAGAAGATCCAGGATTGAAACCTAGCTCTTGACACCACAAATAGCCCTCCTCGGGAATTCCCTGAAGACAGCAGTAGATCATCAGTCAAAAGATAGGATGTAAAGTAATTGGTAAATAAGAAATTAGCAGTTAGGTTTGGGCAATCATGAGGACTGCTAACCATGACAACAAAACAAATAATAGTAAAACACACAGTATTATATGTAGCTCCTAGTCAAAAACTGTAGTAAATGGAACAAGCTGTCAGAAACCTTGATGTCAGAGAAACTAGTTTTAACCAATTAGTGCATCATCCTCTTTAGTCTCACATTGTCTAGTTTATCTAACACTAAATATCCAATACAATACATTACCTCCACTCACATATAGCTATTCTTGTTCAGGGGGGTTGTTGCATGAAGATTTCCATGAGAGACATGTTGGACTTAGTCAATTCCAATGAGGGGGGAAAAAAGGCTTGCAGTATGGTTAAAAAGTTTTGTATGTAGAGGGCAGCACTGGACGAGAATAGCTATTTGTGTGAGAAGAAGTAAGTACCTATCAAAAATACATTTTCAATATAGGAAAATTATAACTTCTAATAGTTTATTCCATTTACTGGGGTTTTTCACCAACAAAATAAAGATTTGTATATTATATCTAGTAATTTGCTAAACTTTTACACATTGATTTATTTCAAGAATCTGTATTAGATAGAGATTTATTTTATTCATTTTTGTACTCTGTGATAAAATTTTATTTGAGGGTATTTTTTTTTATTATGAAAGTATTATACTTTTAAAATATGAAGGAGGAATATGTAGCCAAATAAATTTATACAAAAAATTTAAAACTCATTGTTTCTTGCAGTTTCACCAGATCCCGTTGAACAGTACCTGATTCAGTTAAGCCAGGTTTCTGATATTAATGAACAAGCACCAAGTAGTGCTTGTAGAAGTCCAGCTTCCATATCAGATGGTGAACCATCAACATCACTAGAAACCAGAGTTGGAAGAAATCAAAACTCTGATGACATAGATACACCTGTGAAAAAACTAAGACGAAGCCCAAGACATCAGAAGCCTACAGACTCTCAGAAACCTGACAACAGTGAGATGACAGACTTTCCTTCAGGAGCCAAAATAAAGTATACAAGTGGTATGTTTGTTGATTCGTGGACTTGATAACTGTTAAGTACAATTTAAGTTATTTGGAAAGTGTCAATTTTATTCTGAGCTGTAAGTAGCAAATTGTTTCATACAAAAACTAAATATTTCCCCAAGAACATCAACATTTTGTTGTGTTATAAATTATTATAAATTATCAAAGACATTCATGATTAATGTGCATTGGTAAGAAATAAGTTGGTGTAATTAGTATACCATAGTTGGACTTATGAAATAAATTCATTAATACTCTGTATTCCTTCTTCTCTGCACTTACAATTTTATTTTGAAAGTGTATTGTCATGGTAGCTGATTAATAGTCTATATAATTACTTAAACCTAATTATAAATGGGTAACTAATTATTTTTATAATTAGATACTAATTATCTAATACCCAGCTATTAAAAGAATTAGGAGCGATTGTGTAGGCTATTAACCATGACAATAAAAGTTGTGTTTTCATTTCTCATTTTAACTAAACCAGCAGTTAAAAAACAAATAATTTACAACAAAGGAACACCATTCTCAAAGAAAGTTAGATTTTGTTGTTTTTTATGCTTGAAAATCATAGTTTTTGTGTCTATCAATAAATTTGTTTCATAAAACTTTTGTGAGTGGCGTAAGATTTTGAGTTATGGTTTGTATGTTTCTTGAAATATATTTTAAAGAAACTTAAATATAGATCTTTTACTAAAAATGTAAGTAAAAGATTAAAACAATTGGGTAGATTTTATTTTGAACTTTATTGTGTCTTTCATTAAATATACTTTACCAATACTACTCTACTTAAAATAGAAAGTTAAATAAATAAATATATATATATCATCAAGATATTTCTTTGATATTCTTTAGGAATTAGTAGGATAAGAAATTATAAAATAACTTTTTTGATACTGTTTATGTGTTTTTTTGCCTTTTTTTCAGATGTTCGTCTCAGGGTTCGGGCTGAATATTGCAATTATGAAAATGCTCTTCGAGGAGCAATATCATCAAATAAAGTAGATCCAATTGAACGTCATCTGGAACGTTTCAGCCAAGCCAATACCATTTTGCGCTCTCGAGATCTTGGGGACATTGTCTGTAACATAAGATTTTCTGAAATCACATACTTGGATGCATTTTGGAGAGATTACCTGAATGGAGCATTATTGGATGCATTGAAAGGTTAATACAGTTTTTATTTGTTATGTACAGCTAATAATGAGAAGAATATATTAATATGTTTCTTGAAAGAGATGTAAATACTCATGTACAACAAAAGTTTTGATACAGTATTTCACTCAAAAGATTAGCTATTTTTGTCCAATGCTGCCCTCTATATGCAAATTGTTTCTTTACGTGTACCTTTTTGTTTGTTTAAAGTATCACGTTCATCAGTATACTCATGAAGTAGTCTTCATTTATTTTCACTTCTAGTTTCTGTTAACTCAATTTGACCGACCACGTAACCTCTTTGTACTTGGTTAAAGTATTTATAGATTTAATACTTTTAACTTTCAGTATAGTGTGTATATCTTCACAAAATTTGGCAGTCTTTCAGTTAATGTTATAAGTCACATACAAAAAATAATATTTTTTAGTGAAGTATTTTTAATAAAATAAAGATTTCTCCATGAATGTATGGAGTATTTGTTTTGAATAGTTCGTGCACAAAGTAATTTTAATATTGAAATTAAAAATACTTTTCCTCATCTCCAAAATCTTAAATTTCCTTTGTGTCCCTAAAACCTCATACATGCATTTCAAAAAATTTTTTCAGTAAAACTTTGTAGTTTATCTGTCATTTTCTCTAACCTATCTCAAAATGGGATCAGTCAATTTGACCGACTTCGTAACCACCAAAAAAAATTGAAATAAATCTAAATTATCCATTTTTCTTTCTAGAATGACTTCAAGTTGTAACATGAAACTACACTCATTTATCTTAAATAGCTCTAAGTTCATGACAGGATATATCTATTTATAACTAAATTTTATTCTTTTGTTGCCCTTTGAACCATGTCTAACTGCTATCCATGCCATTAAAAGTTGTA